CCCCCCCCCCCGTATACGAGCTGACGATCAAATTTCTCCTGGGACACGGGTAACTAGGGATAAAGCTTCGTCTATCACACACCCCCAATAACTTCTGTGCAGGCTGACCAGCATCTTATCAGAGCTATGGCCTATCTGAACGTGCTCATGGACAAGTCTCAATGTCTTGACGTCAAATGCATATGTAACGTCTAAAAACGTTAAATCTGGTCCTCTGGACATTCAAAAAACAAAAACAAACAAATAAAAAAAATTGTAGAAACGCTTTGTCTTTCATCCAAAGGACTTCCTCAGTCTGAGGTGCTGTATTCAGCTCAGTCTCTTAAATAGCACCTTCTCAGAGTGGATCAACTAGTTTTGCTGCTGACAACCAGAACCAGCTGATCACATGCTCAAGAAGGACCATCAGCCTAACAATGGGTCATTAGCACCTGATGGCTGTTTACTGTTCACAGAGGGCTGAGTGATACTAGCAATCACAGCATTGTAAGAGGGGGACAGTTGAACCTGGAGGCCTTCAGAGGACCAGACTTAACTTTTTTAGATTTTTCTACCTGGATTATTGAGCAGGCATCAGGATGTATATTATTCTGTTGTTTGGTTTTATGCTGTTAACAAAGTAAAAAAAAACTTCCTGTTTGGCTTAATGTAATTCTGTTTTTTCAAATGTTGTTCATTTACACCTTAGGGCCACCGTAGACTGGAGTCCTGTTTGGGTTTCTTCTCTGCTTTCAGGAAGGCCCAGTTAGGATATCCACATTGCTCTAGAGCCTGTCTTGTGTAGGATTTCTCCTTCTGCCTGGCTCCTGAGCTAGTGGGGACGCTGTCTGCTCTGTGGTACAGAGTCCTGATAACTCCTAACTTGTGCTCCAAAGGGTGATGGGAGTCGAACTGCAAATACTGGTCTGTTTGGGTGGGTTTGTGGTACAACTCGGTTTGCAAATGTCCTCTATAAGAGACTGAGACCTCACAGTCCATATTATTACCTGCAGTGTTCCCTCAGTGAGGACTGAACTAGACAAAAGGACCTTCTCCTCCTCCGCTCCTGTTTCTTGGAATATCTTGCAAAAAGATCTGAAGCTCTCGACCTTTGACCTCTCTAAGTGTCTTCAAACATCTGATAAGTTTTTCTTTTTTTTCCCATTTACCTTTATTTATCCAGGTAGTCTCATTGAGCCATGAGAACTCATTTTCAAGAGAGACCTGCTTAGGGAGCAGATGGTGGGGGTTAAGGGCCTTGCTCATGGGCCCAAGGAGGGGCGAATGATGGTGGAGGCAGGTGTGGATGCTTCATCCACCCCACCCACATTTTTGATGTTGTCGGTACCGGGGCTTGAACTAACGATCTTCCGATCACAGGCCCACCTTCTCTAACCTCTGCACCACCACTCCCCTGTTCCTGCAAGAACCAGCGCAGCCATGTTCCTGTTTTTTGTTGTGTGTTTCCTTGACGAATGAAGCCGTCCGGACCGAAGGCGAAACGTTTCAGCACAAAAAAAAGAAACTGTCTAGATGACCTGACTCAACAAATCTGTACTGAATGATGACCTGGTCATTGAATCAATGGATTTAAAATCTATCGCTTAAAAAAAAAAGTGGGGGGGGGGGGGGGGGGTGTTATTTACATCAGAGATTCTCTGGTTTCTGGTTTTGTGTCTTCTAAAACAATTCCAAACCAGTTTGATGCCTAAAGCCCCCAGTATACTGCCGCGTACATCCATACGCAGAGGTACGCACGTAAGCAGAGGTACGTGCGTACCTCTGCTTACGTGCGTACCCCCCAGGGCATGTCCGTGCAAAGCTCAAATTTTTACGACCGCATACGCGTACGCGGTGTCGCACAATAAACTGCCCAGCGGCGGACTGTTTTGTATGCGACACCAATGTATTAAATTCCTCTTCTTCATCCCTGATCTGGCCTTTTCTTTAGTTTTTTTGCCAAGAGGCAGTGATCTCTTCCTCCTCCGTTGATGCCAGGACTGAAATGGTGAGAAATGAAGGAATTTGTCACGAGCAAATTAAACTCAGGTCCAGCGTGGCTGTAGGAGGGTCTGGAGATTTCCTGGTGGGCTGGTCTGATGTGTGGGCTGTAGAGCCAGCGCTCCCTGTTTTTTTATTTTTTAGATCTTTTTATTAACACCATATAAACGCAGAACATCGCTGTGGCTCATGCTGCCAGCGATCGCTTTTTTTTTTTCTTTTTTCCGACCTGTCATTCAATTCAGTAGGCGTGTCAGCAAATGACCAATCAGCGACCTCAATTTGTCCCCAAGGTAAACGCCCCTTGCCTGTGAAGCTGCTCTGCAGCTGCTCGGGGTGTACACTGTAGTTTAATGACTGAACCCTCTGCGTACAGTACACGCGTACGTACGCGTGAACGGACGTATGCGGCAGTATACTGGAGCCTTTAGCTGTAGACATCACTTTGAATGGAGGCCAGATCTTATCTGTAGTCAGTTGTTATCGTCCCCCCTCAGCAACACCTGAGGCTCTGTCCTCCCTGATGGAATTCCTTGGTAATTTAAAATTCAAAGAGATTTTTTTGTCAGGAGATTTCAACATTGAATGAGATAAATCGACCCCCCTCTGTGATAAATTCAAGGAATGTTGCCTGTCTCTCAATCTTACCCAATTGATCAACTCTCCCACTAGACTAAACAAAAACTGTCCTGAAAAATCCTCCATCTTAGACCTGCTTCTAACTAATATGCCTCACAAATTCCCTGGTACAGGTGTATTTTCCAATATCTTGAGTGATCACTGTGTGACAGCTGCTTTGAGAGATATTAAACTTCCACCTTCTAAGCCCAGATTAATTCAAAAAAGGGATCTGAAACGTTTTTGTGAACAGTCATTCCTCTGGGATCTGTCTCACTTTCACTGGCATCATATTCTGTTAACTGATGACGTGAACTACGCTTGGAACTATTTTCATAATAGTTTCATTTATTTCCTGAACATACATGCTCCTTTTCGTCAGTTCAGAATAAAAGGATGAGACAGCCCCTGGTTTACTCCAGAGCTAGCTGACCTCCTGCACAGGAGAGATCATCTTTGGGCTGCAGCGAGAAAATCTGACTCAGACACTGATTGGTTGAGTTTTCAACAGATGAGGAATAAATGCACAACTGCAGTCAAAGCTGCAAAATGCAACTATTTCTTATCTCAGACCTCCAAAAATCTAAATGACCCTAACAGATTCTGGAAAACCATCAAATCTCTCTCAGGCACCCCCCAATCATCTGACCTCCCATCATAACTTCTCATTAACTCTGTTCCTGTGTCAAATAAGCACGAGGTCCTGAACTGTTTCAACAAACATTTTGTTGCTTCTAGTTCTTTATTTGACACAGTTACTAATGGAAGATCAGCCACTTCACTTAATAACCAAACTTCTACAAATCAAATCCCTCCTACAAGTCAATCCTCAGTTAATCACAGCTTCTCTTTTTCTCCATTCTCAGTCAGTGAGGTCAATAAACTGTTAAAAGATCTTGACCCTAAAAAATCTGCAGGTCCAGATGAACTTCCACCTTATTTCTTAAGGCTGGCTGCTCATATCATCACAGTCCCTGTGACCCACATCTTCAATCTCTCCATAAGACAAAACTCCATCCAGACACTTGAAAACAGCCTTTGTTCTTCTTTGCTGAAGGGAGGTGACCCCACCTCACTGAACAACTATGGACCAATCTCTAAACTCTGCATTTTAGCCAAGGTTCTAGAAAAACTGATAAACTCTAAAATCAAAAATGACCTGGACTCATTTAACATCTTACCTCCACATCAATCTGGTTTCAGGAAACAACACAGCACAACCACAGCTTCACTGAAGGTTCTTAATGACGTTGTTGAAGCACTGGATGCTAA